TTATGAGGAGGCGGGAGTGTTGTTTTAGGTTTTGCTTTGGACTTTCCCTCCGTAAGTCCCTGGTGGCTTGTTCACCTCCCACACAGCCAAGGGACTAAGAGGTGTGCTTTGGCAGGGACTCATGGCGGATGGAGGACTATCTGCACTTCATGCTGGTGTTCTCATCCCACATCTTCATGGGCATTTTGCCCAAGCTGGAAGAGAGGATGTGGGCCCACCTGGACGCCGCTGTAATGCATTACTTCACTCCGTGTCAGTATCGCAGCCACAAGGCGTTTGTGGAGGCAGCAGCAAAGGCTCGGCAGCACCTGCTTGAATTTGCCACTGTGGCTGAGGAGGATGAATTTCCGCTGGGAACTTTCGGTCTGTGTCCTTGGAAAGTTGTCCATCAGCGCTGCTGGTACATCCTTGACTTGGGTGGGAAGAGTAGAATATTGCAGTGGCTGTGGTTACGACCGAGTGGCCTCATTACGACCGACTCGGCTGTCAACCCCGGACCCCACAGAGCGAGGAGTCGCTTGGAACCCCAAGTCCTTGCGCAGCAGACGCCTGGCAGTGGGGCAGTAATCGCTGCCGCACGGGATGACAGGCTGGCCGAGGCCGTGGGGTCATCTGTCTCCACCATGGATTCCTCCTACACTGCTGAGGCTAGCGTCAGCAGCGAGCTCTCACCCTCGGGAATCGTCACAACAAGCCCTGGTAAGGACTCCTCGGGCCACAGGGTGGTTTCGGAGCTGCCACTTGAGAACTCCAGGGCATTAACATGGCAGGCTTCTGGGTACGCGGGATCCATATCCTCCTCGGGACGCGGCGTTACACACGCCAGGGCTTCTACTCCAAAGGCCTTTAAGGCCTGGCACTTAAAGGCGTCGCGTCCAAGGAGGACATGAAATCCGTGCGCGAGCAAGAGGGGGGATATGAGTTGGGCGAGCTGGATGAGTGAGGGATGCATCTGGGTTGGCTCTCGTCAAGGCTGAGCTAACCCCTTGCCGTCTTATGCGCCGGCTTTTGCTTTTTTGATTATCTCTGGTTGGATTAGGAACACGGGGCCGGCTATTTCGCTGACGTGGTTTTCTTCTTTGCTTGTCCCTCTCTTACGAATCGCGCATCTTGGGGAAACCCCTGCGGTTCTGCTGTCTGTCCTTACTCGAATGCCCTGCTCGCTGCTGGTGGCGCTACCGGAGACGGCCGTAAGTCTATGGTGGTTCCCTCGCTTGCAGGCATGCCTCATGGTGTGCAGCTGCCCTACACAATTTCTGAGGCGCTGCCGCCCATCTCACCACCGGCGCCACAGCAGCAGCAGCTGCCTTTCGCCGCTCACCACACAATGTCGCCCCCGCAGCAGCAGTACCAGCCCCAACCTCAACACCAGCCCCAATATCAACACCAGTACCAACTCCAGCAGCATCAACATCCACTCCAGCCTCAACACCAGCAGCTCACAACTTTGCAAGCTAGTACTTTGCCGCCGCAGCAGCAGCCCCAACAGCCACAAGCGTGGCATACCTCCCTAGGGCCGATTCTGACGACTCAGGAGCCTATGGCCAGGGCGCAGGTAGCGGCGATGGCGGCTGGCGGCCCCGGGCCCGGCCCTTCCGGTCCTGGCAACAGCACGGGACGCAGCAGGGAGAGCAGCGCTTCCATGTGGGCTCCACCGCTGCCAATAGCAGTTGGGGGAGTTGCAAGCGGTCACGGTGCCATGCGTGCGTACGGCATGCACTCCGACGGTGCAGCGGCAGCGGTCGCCAACGCCGCCGTCGCCGTCGCTGGGCCCCATGCTGCTGCTGTGAACATGCCCGTTGGGCCAGGCTTGCATTCGGGCGGCTCACGAGGTTCGCGTGGACATTCCCGCCATGCGTCGTACGACAGCATTGACGTAAACTCGAGGGACGGTGACGGCGTCAGCCAACGCGGTAACAGCGGGGGTGTCGGCGGCGGTGCTGCCGTGGACGCACGTGCAACACCGTTTGTGTTGTATGGCGGCGGTGCCGCAGCCACCGCGCCGCCGCCACCGGCGCCGCTGCAGCGGATTGCCGCCGACCCAACCTCTGACTTGTTGCAGCAGAATTTGCAGCTCCAAAGGGAGTTGGAGCTCTTAAGACAGCAAGTGGCGCTATTCACTCAAGTGACGGGGCTGGCCCCCGCCGCTCTTGCGGCTGCCGGCATGTCGCCGACAAACACCCACGCCTACTCTGCACAGCATCCCACCATGCTAGCGCCGCCTCCGCAGCCTCAGCCGGCCCCACCCTCGACCCTGCAGCAGCAGCTGTCGCCGCCGGCGCAGCAGCAGCAGCAGCAGCAGCAGCAACATCAACAACAACAAATCTCAGCTGTCGCTATGGCCGGTGTTGGCGGCGGCGCTGGCAGCTTGCTGCCACATCCAGGCAGTGTTGCACCGCAGGCTGCCGCACTCTTCCGTAACGCAGCCGTCAGTCACGGGGCGGGTAGCGGTGGGCAGGCCGCGTTCGTACACACGGCGTCGCAGCAGCAGCAACAGCAGCAGCAACAGCAGCATGCGATGCTTTCCCACGCCCACAGCACTTGCATGGGGCCCACAGCAACTGGAGGAGTGTCTGTGTCTCTGTCAGCCCATGGCTTCACGGCGGGAGGGCACGCGAACCTATGGGCCGAGGCGGCGTCGGGCTCGAACAGCACGTCAGATAGACAGCAGGTTGTTCGGATGGGTTTCTTCGGGTCTGACCACTTGTTTGACCTACGTTACAAGAAGTGGTAATTTCGCATTCACGGCATTCGTTAGGGCGCAGGCGGGTAGGTCTGATGCTGAAATCGTCTTCCCGCTGTTCAGCGGCCGCGTGTGAACTGTACCGTTCAGCGCCCCGCCAGGGGGTCCGTAGCGCCGACAGGAGCGCAATTAATACCGTTTTTTGTCCGTTCGGCGTCCGCGTTCCCCGCTGAAGCTGCCTTCGTTGCACAGAAGCCGCCGTGCTTCATGTAGCTCACCCGTCCTATTTGACCCTATCTAACCCTTTTATCTAAACCGTGGGTGGCCACTTCAGGGGAGTCTTGCGGCTGTGGCAGGGCCAGGGGCTCCTCCAGGGCCCATGTCAGCGCCGCCGTCGTCCAATCGCCACAAGCGGTCTGCTTCGATTGACGTGTCCTCCCTGATTGCGACGCGGGACGGCATAGGGCCCGCGAAGGACTACCTGGCGCCGGCGGCCTCACAGTCGCCGGCGGCTGCCAGCCATGCGCCTCAGGGCCACCTGTCGCCAGAACGTCGGTCGCCCCTGGCGCGAGATGGCGGCACAGGCACCGGCACTGGCACTGGCAATTTCATGATGGGACATAAGACCGCACCGCCGGCGTTGGAGGCCTTGCGCCAGAATCACCCCGGCATGTCGTTGGCCCAAGCGGTGAGAGACTATGGTGTGGTGGATGGATGTCGTTCATGAGAGGAAAGATGACTTCCAAACCCCCGAAATTGAAAACTAAGGATTAGTCAAGGAGTCGAGCGCGTGGTGGCAGGGTGTGGCATTGCTAAAATGTTATTGCGCTCTGTGTTACCACAAAAGCTGGGGGATTGAGGAATATTCCCGCGTTTCAATTCCGACGTGGCTGCCTTCCGTCTGCGTG